GATTTTTTTCTTTTTTAGGAGAAGTGGAATTTTCCTTTGGTTTGAAACATCTAATAGTAGAGCTTGGGTGACAAACGAGAATTGCTAGAGAAGTCATTAAAAGACATTTTTCAGCCATTTCTAAGTCTCTTTTGGTAATGAGATGATGGTCAAAGTTTGTCACATATTCTTATTTCAAAAGGGGTAAGAAAATCTCCATATTAATTATCAAAATCCAGAAAAATCTTTAATATTATATTCTTTAGAACTTTATAATATGGAGATTCAGAAATTATGAGAGGTGTAAAGTTCAGATTTGGAAATGATTTTTACCTCGCTAAGATTCTTTTTTGTTTTAAATGCTGATGAGAATATAACCATTCACCTTTTTTAACGTAGTCTACAATGGTATATTGCCTAGGGAAAAAAAGGAAACTTAAGGGCCATTATTTGATTGGCTCAATCAAATCCAGAGATTATAATCCGAAACTTAGGGATTCTAATGAGTTAGATTTATTCTGATATTTGTCATTGAGTAAATAAAACAATTAGGGGCCATTTAGTCGGAGGGATTAAGTGAGTTATCCCGATTTAAAATTTGGGATTCTATCTCTCCTGTATTTGGTTGAGAGTATTAGTTAAAACCGGGATAAATTTTATACCACAATCATGGGATTATTTATTCTCGTTATAATCCCAGGAACCTGATTTTGAACCAACGACACCTTAGTTAAATATAACGAAACCCCAAATTATCTAATCGTCTATAAAAAGTAAAAATTTCTTAGAACATCTAGTTTATTATTATTTTTTCAATTAGTTGTCATGTAAGTTTTAATTTGATATTTAAACGTGCAAGCTCTTACAATATAATATAGAGTAAAATCCACCTTAATCTTAAAGTGTTAGATGTATCTTGTTTTTTTATTTTCCTTAATATAGTCGACATGTATGGCTATTTTGATCAAATTTTACCAATCCATTTACTTGTAAACTATTTCAGTGTATCTTTTATTAGTTATATTTCATTAAGGATTTTTTAGGTAAATCATAACTCATAGATTTCACTTCAGTTATTGACACATACCATTACATTTTGAAAATATTAAAACTTTCCCTATGGTAAGATTTGTCCAGCCAAAAAAAATTGTACTATTATAACTATATAATAAATAAAGCTTTGGTCGTACGAAGAAGGGTAGGACAGTAAATTCACTTGACTTCTTCTTTGTAATTCCACAAGAGCTTTCCTTTTCCATTTTCTAATTTCTCCCACCCTCTCTCTGCCGGTGTTTTAAAAGGCGTGGGGCGTAAGACGGGCGTTTTACATATACCTCAGCGAGGCGTAAGCCCCGAGGAACGGGGCGTAAGCCCCATATGTATTTAATTTTTAATATTTTATAAAATAATATAACGATAGTAAATATTTATATACATGTAAAATTGCATAAAAATTAAAAAAAACTATAAATATGTGATATATATATATATACTTAAGTATAACTAATGTATACAAATCACGTATAACGTCTTTAATTTTCAAATAATTAAAAACTTACAATTTCTTTAAAAAAAAATGATCAAACTCCACATTTTACCTTCCTAAAAGTAAATAATTAATAAAATCTTATTAGTACGATAATTAAAATATTACTCCTTCATGAATAAATACAAATTAGTTTAAGATATCAAATTAATAAAAGTGTATAACAAGGAGGGACAAATGAACTAAGACACGACCAATAACAAGTGAAGATATAAATTCGCAATACTATGTCTCATTATTAGAGTTATGCTCAATCTTCATATTTCTATCGATGAATAGAACTTTTATCATTAATTTGTTAAAGAATTTTGAAGGTTAACAATATTAATTAGGAAATTCGACACGTGATTTGCGTTCGGACTGTTAGGCGAGCCCCGAACGTTGGGCGTTAGGCGTGTTTAGGGCGCACGGTCGGGCGTTTGAGGCGTAAGCCTCACAAAACTAAGCCCCATACATGAGCCCCGGGGCGTTTTGCAAGTGCCCCGCCCAAGGATGAGTCCCAGAAATGCCTTTTAAAACACTGCTCCCTACGTTGTCTTGCTCTTTTACATTTCTATAATAAATTTTCAATTCGTCACTACTGAAGTCTGAAGCATGAAAATGGACTCATTCTTAGTGTGTTCCTCCGTCTATTCAACCATGCATGTATTTCAATCAAGTCTCAAAATATATAATTTTAGTGTTTGATGGTTTGATCTTCTTTTTCTTTTAGGATAATTTCTGTTTGAATTTTCACATGTATGTGGTAACTATATCAGATTTGCACCAAGATGTTTGACAATATACCTAAATGAACTGATATATATGCGCTTTTCTTTACTTTCCTCTACCACTAGAAGTCTCAGTCTTTTACACTCTTTTTCACGCTTCAGTTCCCCTTTCATTTCTCTGTCTCTCATTCACCTTTTCTCTCTTATTTTCAAGTTTCTTTCAATGGATTTTTTTCAACGTTTATTCATCTGTACAATTCTTGCGAAGATTGTTCATTTCCTCTAATTTGTCTCGTCTCAGCTCTCAGTTGTGGTAAGTTTTTTCTCTGGTTAATTTTCCAATAGTTCTTAATTTTCAATTTAAGATTGCAGTTTTAAAAGTTTGTTCACAGAGCCTCTCTCTCTCTCTATATCATTGAGTTCTTCCTAATATGACTAACTACTACGGAATCGAAAAGAAATAGTCAATAAATACATGCATATGCAAAATCCGTTAACTAAATGTGCCAAAGGCTCAAGAAGTGCACAATAGCTATCATAAATTTGGCTATGGGGGTCAGAGAATATCCTTTGAGGCAATTTGGACAGAACCAACAAATTTGACACCAAATATTAAAAAGAGAACATGCATTGCAGAATCAATTAAGAGAAGAGCCAAGGCCCGGACGACCATTTAGCCGACAAATAAACTTGGTTAATCTTTTCCCTTCTCAAGAATCACCATTTCAGTTTGATATTCTTGTTGACGCTGAGGTACGAATCGTGAGCGAGTTTTAAACACCGTGACTCGAATTACACAAAAATAGAAGAAAGGGAATTTTTTAATTTTGGTTGAAAGCAATATATTTGGTGAGTAGGGAGCTAGTGAATTAAACTTAGATCTAGAACAGTAATCTATATNTTATCTTTTTTCTCAAAATTTTGCAATTTCCTTTATTCTTCCATTTAGTTTTTATTAAATAAAAAGTTCAATAGTTACAACTTTTCCTATATTTACTTATTACAACTTTCCAATTCACTAGAAAGTCAATGTAACATGCGGTTGGTTGTTACTACTATTTAACATTCTATGTAACTATTTTATTCAGTCTTAATTCAAAATTTGTTCTAGAGAGTCAACAAAGTCCTTTCTCTTCATTCACATTTTAGTTTCATTTATGTGAATGCTACAAAAATTTAGAAAGTCATCTTTTAAATTCGATTAGTTACACCATTTTTCTACCGTAACCGTTTTCTAAGAGAAATGCTTACACAAATTTGAAGAGACATTCTATTACATTTTTGAAGGTTTTTTTCTTTTAACTTCTTTTTTTGGGTTGTAATTTCCCCTTAATTCTTCCCATTTTAGCTTTATTTTATTTTTTCGTGCTATAAGTATAACTTCTATTACAATTTAATTACCACTCTTCGTGCTATAAGTATTTAATTATTCCTCCTAGAAGAATATTATTGGATTGGTGTTGCATTCGGTGAGTGAAGAGATAGTAGAATTAACATAGAAGAATATACACATTCGTCTTAGCAACCTAAACATGAGATAAGGAAAAATCGATTACACATATTCTGCGACTGTCTAGAGTTGACCGTTGGGAACGTAAAAATATTGCCTTTTACTTTATTATCTTTTCTTCTTGCAAAGAATTTCATTTTATTTTTTTGCGCAGAAAATTCATATATGAAACTCCATTTAACATATATTGAGGTGTGGTTGTCTGAAAGATCAGTTTATTAAACAATAGGTTGAAATAGTTTGCTATAGTTTTGTTTTTTCTTATATCTGAATTTGTATACTTTTATTTTTGTAAATGTAGATGGCAATTGATATTTGATGTTTTCTCTAATATTATTAAACACCATTGGTAATTCGCTATCTCGCATTCTCACTTTATGATCTTTCTACTACGACTAATTTCTTATTTATTATAATTAATAATTTGTTTGTCATTTTCCATCATTGATCATGTATTTTTTCCTCCTCTTTTATATTTCTTTGATATTTGATTTTGCATATGTTTGTTTAAATTGAAGGTAAATACATTTGATTTTATATTTATTTTACATTTAATTGCATATTAATATGGCATAATTACCTTAAATGGCTAGAAACTAAAATGATTAAGCGTATGGAACAATACCTCTATCATCTTTCAATTAGGAGCGATAACTTCTTTGAACAATATTTATGGTAAGCTAGAATTAAAACGCAAGCAAAATAAAATATGGAATATGATTCCAACAATAGTGGGTTGGTTACACTTTTTTTTCTATTTTTCTACTATTTCTTTTGTATTATTCTCTCTTTTATTACTCAATGTTCACATTTATTAATTTAAATGGATTGTTTAATATTTAGTCTATATGTTTATTACAGTCTTTTATTTTATAAATTTTGCATTAGATGTTACAAAAATCACAAAAACGATAGAATCATGAAAATTTTGTTTTTTTTTTAGTATAGATTGATTTTCTTCTATAAAGATTATGACATTAATATTCTATCATAATTTAATTTTTTTTCATAACTGCGCTTAGCACGGCTAATACACTAGTTAAAGAATAAATAAAGTGATGATGGGATCAGACTTCAGAGGCAAAGCCCACCAAGTTTGAATAAATTACAGATTGAACTTATCTGATTAGTCTTGATTAAAGGTACTCCATATATGTTAATCTGGTAGTACTCTAAAATGTATAGTACACTTGGTAGTACTCAATGCTCCAAGATATCAAGTTTGCAATAGTTTATAAAATGAGATGTGGATTAATATTAGCAGTACAAGAACTGTACTAGTACAATGATGTACCAAAAAATAACTTGGGACTTTGATAAAATGGACAAGATTTTACTACTTGCAGTACAATCAATGTACTTGCTACTATTGTTGTAATAAAATGTACGTTTGTGACATGGTTGAACTAATCTATAAAAGGAGTCAAATTTGTTACACTGGATATACTAAGGGGAAATCGAAGAAGAAGCAGAAGATGACACTTTGTTGGTGACTTTGGTCTCGAAAGAGTATTGGTTAGTATTATTGGTCTCGTATACACCCACTTAGGCCCAAAATATAGATTTTTCACTATGTGTGTGTGTTTTTTTTTTTTAATTTTATATTTACATAAACAAAACTGTTTTTTGCAAAAATGTGGTCTGTCTCTTTTCTTTAACTCTTGTATATACAACAACAACCACTTAAAATCTTGTATATAGCAAAAACATTATGCACCGGGTCGTCTTGCTATTTATTGTTTGATAAATACTTGTGTGATCTATGGCATCAACCACTAATTTTCTCATTACCATAATGGCCACCATTTTTACATATCTTTTTCTATGTACCATAAACCCCAAGTTTTATATTTTTTTCAATATACCTTAAACCAAAATTTAATAAATTATCCTTATGTAAAGTGTGTATAAGATTGTCCCTTTTTCTTTACAACAGCTCCGTTTCCTTATTTGAAAATGTTAAGATCAGTCAACTTCATGATTTCACTTGTTTTCTCCTTTCCGCTAATTACAAGTGCATTCATCCAAGACCGTTTTATTACATTCCCTCGGTGCTAAATTGATCAAATAGGTTATTTTGACGGACAACATAATTATCAATTATGCGCAATGTATTTAGCCTTCTAGATTAGAGTTTAATTATCCAATAGTACTATGTTTTCCAACTATAAAGAATTTAGATGAAATATCACATCAATTTAACATCTAAATCAACTTGAGAACATATTAAGTAAGATGGAGTGCTTAGTTTATATTACTCTTGAAAACGCAGGACAGACAACTGCAAGGGATAACATTATTCTTACTATTAACCAAAGAGGACCTCGAAAGCATGATAAAAATTTAAGAAATTCCGGTTTTACTCTAATTAACCTTGACACCTTATTCATGAAAACCCAAGTTTTTCAAAACGGGTAACTTGCAGATGAAATTATAGGACTTAACTTTTATTTACTCATAGTGCAATCAAATATATATTTCCACCCCATTGCAATTTAACCTAGTGCATAAGGTTGCAGCTTGTGTTATTGTTTAGGTTAGTAGTTCACTTGTTTTATGTAGTTACCTGCAATTACATTTCAAGTGAGCAGATAATGTAAAAAATTTATACTATCAATGTATGTATATAGTTAAGGTCATTGTTGAATAGTACGAAAGAAGAAGCATCGATGTATGGACACAGCATTAGACTTTTGGAACCAAAGTCACCAACAAAGTCTCAAATTTCTCATCTCCAAGTCAGGTGTTTTGGAACAGCCAACAACTTTGTTTCTCAATGATTTCTATTGTTATGTTTTAATTTGTTCCACTTGGAGAATGTAACCATATAGATGCAGAGTTAGCCCCTGCGTTTTGATTATTCTTTGGCGTCTCATGTTATTGTGATATTATTCAACAACCCCTCCCCCTCCCCTTCCATTTTTTTTCCCTTTTGACGCATACTAGGTACTTCTTACAATTCCTTGAGCAACAAAAAGGTTGTCTACACGAAAATCTGCTTCGCCTTGCAAAGGGAATAATGAAGCATCATCTTTCATTTTGGCCAGAGACTGCATAACTAGTTAGTATATACAATTAGAGGTAGATACTTTTCCAATTAGAATTGAATATTAGTTCTTCCTCTCCAATAAGATCTATCCTGCAAATAAATAAATATTTTACTAAAGCTCTTTAAGATACCTTATCAAATTAGAAAAAATACTAAAATTCTTTAAGGTAAAAAAAAAAAGACAATAACACAGAGATTGCTAAATGCAGAATATGGGGCAATAATTACCATCATTAGCATCAAACAATGAGAGCACCATTCTCGTTATATTTTCTTTCGTCATACTATATCTTCCAAAACTCAAATTTAATAAACTACTATATGTTTGTTATATAGGTAGAATATATTTATCCAGATTGATAAAAGAATAAAGTAAAGGGAAACAAAATAACATGGCAAGTTGTTTATTATTATTATTAGCACGAGAATATGATCTAAACATAATCTAATTAGGAATAATCGTGTAAGAGCAATGTTTAATTTAACATGTTGGCCAACAAGAACAATTCATTGTCTATCCTGTAATAATTGATTCTCTAGGATATTATTACAAAAAAATAGAATATGGATAACAACTCAAGAGGATTTGGTAAAATTTTACTAACAGAGCGATCCATACAACTCAATTGACGAAATTTTGTCCAAAAAATTGTACTACACAAGCTTAATTATATACAATACAATATATACTTAATCAAACTACTTAACTAATTAAAGTAGTATGGGTGATTTTAGAAGAAGAAAAAATAATAATAAATGCTTCCCATTCTTTTTGAAAGTGTTACATATTTAACAAAATCAATTTGACAAAACGACTAAAATGTCAATTTTAAAGTAGTAGTACATTAATACTTCACTTCAAAATCCTTAATATTATGTCATTTATAATTAATTAATGATAGGCTAATATTTTACCACTATTGCTTTTGCCATTATTCAAAATTGTATGTATGTACAAACAAAAAAATTGAGACTCATAAGCAGCGGTTTCCTTCGCAAACAATCATTCTTCAACAAGAATTCATTCTAGAATTGTAATTGCACTTAATTTTAAAGTCTTAATATGGTAAGATATCTGGTTTGACAATTTTATCCACATAGAATTATTTATTAAAACAATAATTTAGGGCCATTTTTGTCTATCGATATTGTATTCATGCTTTTATAATAAACTAGTTTTTATGTACATGCGTTGCACATAAAATTTTAATCACTTATTACAAGAAAGAAAAATATATTAAATTTACTAAAACATTATATAAAAACTTGATAATATTTTATACTTTAAAAATTATTATTATTACATTAACATAATACTTGAGTTCAAAATGATCATTCATCATTCTGAACTTGAAAATATGATCGACTTAGTTAAGTTAGTTAGATAGTGTTCTTATTTATAGTGCATGCAGAAAAATGCAATGTGGTCTTATCTTGTCTAATGCTTCATTATAGATGATTTGTTTTGGTGTATGTTCCCCTTCTGTCACTTTAGTTGTTGTCATAAACAATTGTTGATATATATTTTTTTGTAAAAGTGCAACAGGCAAATATAGATGAACACTAAGGATTGTTTATCTCCGTGCTTTATCTATTTGTATGACAAAACTTTTTTTTAATGTTAAACAAACATTGAAAACTACTTAGTCAACTTTATCTCCTCTATATTTTTTAGTCATGATATTATTAACTATCTGTTGCCATATTTTCCCTTTAAAATTGAACTTGTCCGCTTTAGAGTAATCAAATCTCATAATTTCTAAGTTNACTTTGATAAATCAAAAACAAATTCTCAAAAAATTGTTCACCTTCTAATAAAGAGTTTGTCCTTAGTTCTTTCAACATGCCAGACGGCGTGCAGCCCGATCCAAGCACTGCTGCAGCGTGCAGCTCGATCCAATATCATGGTCCGAAGGCTTGTTGCGGCGTACAATCCGATCCAACATTTACTGCGGCGCGCAGCCCGACCCAACACATCTCACACAGCTCTCAACCCGGCACTCAGGCCCTATATCAGTCACTAGCCTTTCCAGCTTCACAATTATCACAACAATAGCCCAAACAAGGACTATAACAAGTACAAATCAAATCATGGGAGAGAACCGGAACAAAAATGCATAAGCAAATAAGGACCGAGTACAAGACAACAATTTAACAGTCAATGCAACAAGCTCACGACCACTATGGGCCCCAACAAGTTTCTATATAACCTAAGCATGGTTTCTAACACGTAAGACATTCAATAATTCGAAAGCAAGAGTGAACAGGTAATAACAAGGTGTATTTGACTTTACAGTCTACCGGGATGGACCAAGTCTCTATCCCGCTCGGTGTCCGCTTACACGTCCATCACCTAACGTGTGTGTCACCTCTAAATATCAGCATCATATGAATTTCTCAGGGTTTCATACCCTCAAGACCAGATTTAAATCTATTACTTACCTCAAACCGAGCAAATCTCTACTCCGCAATGCTTTTGCCTTTCGATGCGGCCTCCAAATGCTCAAAATCTATTCACGATCAGTACAATACCATCAATATACGCTAATGGAATGAATCCCATATGAAATCTATCAATTTAGATCAAAATCTCAAAATTGGCCAAACCCGCCCCTCGGGTCCACATCTCAAAATCCGACAAAATTTACAAAACTAGATAGCCCATTCACTCACGAGTTCGTACATATGAAATTTATCCAAATCCGACATCATTTGGTCCCTCAAATCCTTAAATTAAACTCTTCAAAATCCCAAGCCCTAACCCCTCATTTTCACTAATTACATAATTAAACAACAAAAAATCATCATATATACGAGTATTAGGGCTCAATCAGCTTACCTCACTGATAGCCCTTGAATCACCTTTCAAATATCACTCCAAAAGCTCCAAAAACTAACTTGAAAATGGTGGAAATGAACCAAATTCGCGAAGTGTTCTATTTATGGTTTCTGCCCAGGCTTTTCGTACCTGCGGATCATTTATCGCTTTTGCGCAACCACACCTGCGGAAAAATTCATTGCAGGTGCGGAACTCACTTATGAGCCCAGGTTCCACATCTACGGCCAACCTGTCGCACTTGTACTTGCTCACCTGCGCGTGACACTCCGCATCTCCGAAGCCAGCCATCTTCCTCCCTTCTGCATCTGCGCCCCAGGTCTCGCACCTGCGGGATCGCAGATGTGATAGACTCTCGCACTTGTGCATCCTGCCTAGCCCAGCACTTCCCGCACCGTCGAACTTCCCATGCGCACCAGCGACCTCGCACCTACGACTCCCCCTTCCGCAGGTGCGAAAATAACAGTAGCAGCAGCTTCAGCTGCATTTTCCAACTTTGACAAATCCGTTAACTACCCGAAATCACCACGAGACCCTCGGGACCTCAACCAAAAATATCAACAAGTCATATATCAACAAAAAAACTTAGTCGAACCTTCGAATCACTCAAAACAACATCGAAACACTAATTTACCCTCGGATTCAAGTCTAAGAACTTCTAAAACTTTCAAATTCGACAACCGATGCCGAAACTAACCAAACCACGTCCGAATAACCTCCAATTTTGCAAACACGTCACAAATGATACTACGAACCTACTCCAACTTCCGGAATTCTATTCTGAACTCGATATCAAATTTTTCAATGCCGACCAAAAATCGCCAAATGTCCAATTTCGCCAATTCAAGCCTAATTCTACCACGGACCTCCAAATCATATTCCGGACGTACTCCTAAGTCCAAAATCACCTAACAAAGCTAATGGAACCATAAAATTCAAACCCGAGATTGTTTACACATAGGTCAACATTCGTTTGACTTTTCCCAACTTAAGCTTCTACTTTAGGGACTAAGTGTCTCAATCCACTCCGAAACCACTCCGGACTCGAACCAACTAACCCGATACATCATAATATAGCTGAAAAGCACAAAAGAAACAGAAATAGGGGTAACGGGGCTATAACTCTCGAAACGATCGGGCGGGTCGTTAGAGGAAACCCCTGATACCACCTAAAATCATGTACTTTCTCCGGCTATGTAGCCATAACAGGTTACCTACAAATGCTTACTTAGCACGCCTTAACATTATAGACAACAATCTTTGTCCACATTGTTCCGCAGTTGCTGAGACTATACAACATCTCTTCTTTGATTGCTCTGCCTCACGAGCACTATGGACACACCTGGGCCTTCTCCATCTTTTCGACACACTCCAACACCTATCCATTCCACTAATTGAGCGAATCAACCTACTGATCAAACAATATCAACATCTTACCCCACATAATATCCCCTCGCCCACACTAATTCCTTTTTGTTTATGGGGTATATGGCTCCACCGTAACCAAAATCTTTTTCATAACCGTTCTGCTCCCTTTCACTATTTACAAATTATTAATAGAGCTGTCGAGTTTCACTTCCTCGTATCGCGACCACACAAAAACACACAACCAACCCCTCTTTATATCAAATGGAATCCACCGCCCCAAAACCACTACAAATTAAATACCGATGGCGCGACTTCTAGGATTCCAGGGTTAAATGGAATAGGAGGGGTTATAAGATCCTCTGATGGGAACTGGATATTAGGGTATTCAAGACATATAGATTTTGGCACTAACATACAAATGGAGATAACAAATTTGCTCTATGGATTACGCTTATCTTTACAACATGGTTACTACCCATTGGAGATTGTTATTCCCGCCAATATTGCTGTATTTGTAAATAATTATTCTGCAAAATATAAGTTATCGTAATGAAACAGTAATTAATTCGAGCCCACTGAATTTACAGTGTTTCCTTAAGGAATTTAATCCCCTCCTACTACCCAAGGTAATGGATTATTTCCTCCCAGGATAGAACGAATCACACACTGGTGTAGTGGTACTTCAAACCCCAATGTTTCAGCGAACACAAAGTTCGGTAGCAAATCACACTTACAGTTGCTTTATTTGAAGTTAAAACAATGCAGAACAAAGGAATAGAAACTCAGA